GAAAAAAACTGAATCAATATCTCATTTAGCAGCTAAGAAAAGGTACATCGAAAAAAATCAGTTTTAACTTTACACAAGCCTGCGAAATTGAACTTTTTGAAAAATACAGGAGAAGCTATTGTTGATTTATATGTTATTTGATGTGCTGATTTTGAAACTGACCATCATTTTTCCCAATCACATCAGGATTTTTTATAAAATCGATATTAATGTTTTTACTAAAATCCTATTTGGAAAGGAATTCTCTCAAACAATTTTGCATGTTATCCGATAACTGTTCTCTTCATTCATTTTGATCTATGTAAAATTTAATCTTGTGAAAGAAAATTGATTTTTTAACTATCAGCTAATTTTTTAAAGGTTAAAATGAATAAAAAATACTGTTACTGGACCGCACAAGTCACCTCTGGTCGATAGAAAAAAAATAAGTTCCTTGTGTCAAAATTTTTACATCAGTTTCTAGAAGAAAATCACCAACATACCATTTTAATTTGTTTTTATTGAGATAACTGACATAAAATTGGCGATTGACCAGGAATAACAAATATTGTGCATGTGTATATGAAAGTTTGAAACAAAAAACAAAACAAACAAAAAAACAGAACAAACAAACACAAAACAAACAAAAAACAAAGCAAACAAAAAACAAAACAAACAAGAACCAAAACAAGGAAAAAACAAAAAAGAAAAGTTTCTAACTAAGTACATGCTCGTTTTCCTCTGAAACTTATTTTTGATGATCTTTTTTTATGCTTAATCTCAGGTTTATCCCGAGCTATCATCCAACAGTAATCAGCGAGCATGTTCTTGTCTCATCTTCCTTGATATTTACGCTCCATATCTCTGATATCTTGATGGAACCTTTCCCCTTGTTCTTCACTAACTGCTCCCAAATTTTCAGGGAAAAAGTCCACACGTGAGTGAAGGAAATGCATTTTTACATTCATGGAGCAACCCAACGTTTTAAATTTGTCCAGCATTTACATTACAATTTCCTTATAATCAGGATCCTTGTAATTTACTGACGACATCTTTGAAAGCAACCCAAGCTTCTTTTTCCGTTTCTGTCATGTTAGTCTCAAATTCTTTATCCTTCATGAGTTTGCAACTTAGCTTGGGATTAACCTGGAAACTTTTTGCACAGGTAATTAAAACAATTGCCATCTTTTGAAACAGCCTTGACAAACTGCTTCATTACACCTAATTTAATTTGTAGCGGAGGTAACAATACTTTTTTCGGTTCAACTAAGCTGTTTCGAATAACATTTTTGGTGCCTTGGTCAAGATTTTGTCTTCTCGGCCATTCTTTTTTGACCCAATGTTGAGTCTTGTCACGGCTGTCCCACTCACAAATGAAACATGGGTACTTTGTAAATCCCCCTTGTTGACCAAGAAGCATGGAGATAACTTTTAAATCACCGCAATTGTGGTCAATGTATTTTATTGTGTTCAGGACGAGAGACAGGTTTTCGTAGTATTCTTTTAAATGTACTGAGTGTCCAACTGGTACTGATGCATACTGGCTCCCATGATGAGGAAGAACAGCTTTGATGCTTCTTTTATATGAATCTATAAACAGCCTCTACTCATCTATCGCAGATGACATTAAATTTGCTCATCAATCCAGGAACATCAGAACAATAGACCAAGTTCTCCTCTTCATCAAAGTACTTAATAAATTCCTTTTCACGATTCCTGTACCAATAAAAAGATGTTCCTTTTGCCAATAAGTTTTTTTCTTTCAGTCTGGAGCCTAACAATTCAGCTGCGTCTTTCGAAAGGCCAAGATCTCTAGTCAAATCATTAAGTTCAACCTGAGAGAAGGGCTGAGGTGAACCGGCAACAGATGGCTTATGTTCGATATCGGAGCCTTGAACTTCCGGATGTTCCGAGTCTGAAGACTCTGTCAATTCAGTTGGAAGCGAAGGCACATCAGGTCCATGAGGAACGGGGCGTATGGCCGATGGAATGCTACCAAGATAAGATATTAGTCTTTGATTTTTCCGGTTATACCCACGAACATGGCAGGAACAAAAATAACAATCATCAAAGTGGTTTTGGGGCTCCCTCCACTTCATGGAAATTCCAAATCATAAAGCAGTCTTCTTTCCCTGATGCCATAAGCGTAAATCATTGAGACACTGCACAAACTTTATGAGGTGTCCAAGATTTGTCCTGATCTCCGAGTTTCATGCCAAAATATGCGAGATAAAGTTGTCTTACATAGTCTGTAATGCTCCTCATGCGATTTTTAACAACACTATATTCGCCGCATATATAACAAAAGTCATCTGGGATATTTTCACAATGTCTCGAACTCGAAGCCATGTTTCACGAAACGCACAGAAAAAAGCAGACTTTAAAATGACTCCCGATTACGCTTGCTAGTGTTTCTGAGAGGTCAGCGAACCTAGATAAGTATTCTCGCGACGCTATTGGTAGAAATGGATTGTGACAGAGAGAGGGACGGTGACAGGAAGTAGTGATAGAGGGGTACTTTTGTAAATTTAACCAAAGTAGAATGCTGGTCAGTCAGGAAGGGAAAAAATTCAAAAACGAAAAAATTTTTATGGTAAATGTTCATAAAAATTCCAGTAAAATTGAATTTTTCTAGAAAACGTGACGTGATAGAAATTTTTCATTTTTATTTTCCATTTCAGCACCAAAAAATACATTAAGTTCAGCTATCAGACCCTTTGTCTTTTTTTCATCGCAGTTCTATACGCTCCACCGACTCCCCTTAAAGTTTTGAATTCGATGGTTAAAAGTCACTCAAAATGAGGCTTCTTTTTTATTTATTACATCGATGGTTATCGTTCCGATGCACTAATGTAAAGTGTTAAAACTATAAAAAGAAAAACGAACTATCATAACTTTTGATCTAATAATCAAATTTTCACTTAATAAAAAACTATTGTAATTGTTTACAAGGCTTACTTCAAATATTTTACTGAATTTGTGCACATCATGTTTTAAGTTACGAAATCCTTTACAGACAGAGTGGGCAAATTTTGAACCCCTTAATATTAATTTCTCTTATTATGCATTTCCCCATATCTACATTTTAACTTTTCAAAAAAATTTACGTACAATTATGAAACTCATTTTTTTTCCTAAATAAGGTCCTCGTAATTTCTTTTTAAATTGAAAATCTTCTATTATTTATTTCATTAATGAATAGTTTCTAAATATATATAGTATATATATAATGTTATCTGTCAATAAGAAAAAGGAGTTTTGTCACCTCATGAAACTTGCCACAGTCTCTGATTCAAAACAAAATAAAATATTTCTATCAAAACAAGCAAATATTTTTTTGTAATTACATGTTCTTAATCTATCAATTATTTTATATTTATTTTATTTCACTGTTTTTATTATAATAATTATACCTATTCATATCAATGTAACTTACTTGGTCGTATCTACTGACACCAGTTTGTTCTTTGTTTAAAACTGGATCACAATGGTAATATACGGAATACATAATGAGGCCTAGTACATGGCACGAAAGAAATGATAATGTTGCAGGAATAATCGTTATTAGAAATGTCCTGAAAAATAGAATTTTTCAACTGAATTCAGCTTTTTATAATATGTATTTTTAAATTATATAGTGTAAATTTGAATTAATTTAGAGTTAGTTTAAACGACAAAGATTAAATTTTCAATACCTTTCTTCTATTGACTCTCTTAATTACGTAAAATAATGTGAGTATACTACCAGAAATGATCATCACTTGTTTTGAAACGCAATATTATTTAAATCGTTTAAATACCTGGTGAAATCCTTTTGGAAAAAAAAACCTAAGTCAGAATACATAACACGGGTATACTGCTTAAAGCTATGTATACTGATATGATTTTATATTGAAATTGTTAAAAGGTGTTTAAAGGGCTAGCTTACATCTCTACATTTTTTTTTTTAATTATGACTGTTAAATTCTGTAATATTTTCTGCATTTCCCAATTCAACTGATATCGGCATTCTCTAATGTAGCTATAATCGATATAGCTCAAAATAGTGATGACATTTATAATAAAACACGCTTAAATTTATTTGCTGTCATAAAAATCATTTAAGTGTCAAAAGACGCATCATGGTAGAAATAAGTATACTATAATAGCATGCTTATAATTTTCATATTTACATACAATAATTTATATTAAAATTATATCACATCAAAATGATAAAGATAATGATATCGCAGAATTAATTTAACAATTAGTATACAAAACCTATGATATTTTATATTATTTTACATCCGTCGTTAAACAGCCGATCCAATTTTTAGTTTACGACTAATAATGTTCAATTCCGTTTCCTTGTAGTTTTGAACCCAATCCAGAAGTCAAGGGGACTCTTGAATGAAGTATTGGGAGAAATTTGATTTCGTGAACGACTTTTTGATGAAACTAATCCGCATTTACGTCACAAGGAGAGGAAAACATTGAAAACCTCTCATGGTCAACCTATCAACTAGAAAACTCTACGTTCCGTCAACCACTGAGAATATTTTTACGTCAGCACTGTGGTCGTTGTGAGCTGAGTTAAAGCAATAATATCACTGAATGAATTCAGTGGCATGACTGAATTTGCACAATGAATCTCTGATATCACTGAATTAATTTAACAATTATTTTACAAAAAAACCCAAAAATTAGTTGTGGATAAAAGGTTAACAAAGAGAATAATTTGAATCCAGTTTCAGAATCTCTAATAGAATCCCGTTTGTCCCTCGTAATCAAATTTTAAAATATAGAATTGTCTTTTGACATTGGTAGGTTAAATATCGTTTACACATCTTCCTGAAAGAATTTTTAATTGAACCTAATTGATAGATGTAAATAATCTGCTATGGAAAATCTTAACTATCTCGACAGAAATGGTTTTCTAACCAATGCTGATTTGAGCTTGAAAAGCTTAACAAATTATTTTGTCATTATAAGCGATTTTTATATTTTACTATATTATATTATACACCTCTTAAAAGACTTACTTGTTTGCTTTCTTGATATTGCTTAGACTCAGTAACCTTTGAACTTCAACTTGGTTTGTCCCATAAAATCCAATTCCAAAAATAATCCCCCTGAATACGCATGCCCAGAAATCATGCCGGTTCGTTAAATCTAAACGAAGACTAAAAAGAAATGAAAAATTACTTAAACTCATTCACAATTTAAATCACAAATTAACTCAAAAAGTAAGTTTTCACCTATTTCGTTTGTGTGCATGCTAGTAATCAAATTTTTTTTTCTGTTGTGCACAGAGAGCACAAACTTCGCTTCACTGAAAGTCTTTTTCCTCTAAGAGGTTGATGTCGACAAGCAATCTTAATTGTTAGAAACTTACAAAGACTCCCATTTTTGACCATGCAGCAATCCTTGAGAGGTGTTAAGTAAATTTTACGAATAATTTCTTCACGAAATCATGCGATTTGGGGCGAAGTGTGAACTCTCAAATATATGACAACTACTGTTTCCACAACTCGAAGCCTCATCGCAGTGCATTGTGGGATACTGTTAACTAGAATGATAAAACTAAAATAAAGACTATACAATCGAAAATAAAGTGAAATTGTCAAGCCGACCGGCCTGGATAGAGAACAAGAAGCTGCTTACGTGCCAGGAAGATCCGGGGCTCGTCCCAATTAGGGTATAAGTTAAATTTAACTATCCTTCATTGTTGTGTTGTGTCACCTACATAGTGCCTACGTTCAAGTTATTATTAGAAAAGTTAAATACATTAGGCACTTTGAAATTTGTTCCGGGGTGGGGTTGAAAATATATCGAATGCCAAAATATTTCTTTAATTTTAAGGAAGTTTCTTTCCTCCAAATTTAGGAAAGGATATTTACTTCCAAGGAACAAGGAAATTTATTTCCTCTAACAATCATTTCTTTGAGGAAAAAAATTTCCTCAAAATTAAGGAAATATTTCATCATTCTATTTTTAATATTATTATAGAAATATTTCAAAGAATTACGAAAGTTATTTAATTATTTTGGCGACGATCGGAGCGTATACCAGGAAACAGTTTCGTCAAAAACGAAAAAAAAATTCATGATATTTGAGTATCTATTTCTCACAATGCTAAAGTACGAAAGTTACTTTTAATGAAAAATTCCTTGAAAATAAGCATGATTTTTTTTTAATGCATAAAAAAAATTTTCGGTTGGGGTCAAGCTGACCCTACTCACCTGAGTGTTTGAAAAGTAAAAATGCATTTTATTGCATGCCAACCGCATTAAATGTTTAAGCTATAATATCCAATTCACAGGAAAATTACGTCATTAAACGTTACATTCAACTGTCTCAATCTTTCTCATTTACTAGTTCAATCTTTTTCTCATTTTTTGCTGAATTAATTTTTTGAGGGTATTTACAATATTTTACTGAAAATAAATTTCAAAAGATCTCTAAAGAAAATTATTAAAACCATAAATTGTGCCGTTTCAAGCTTTTAAACTCAATGGTTGCAGGTATATTTTTGAATTGCAATTCGGAATCTCTTGTCCAAGCTCATCTTGCACATTTCTCCTGTTTTGTGAAACTATATTTTTATTGATAAGGGCAGTAATCTCTGCCCTACTTTCTTTTTTTCTTCTTTTTTTTTTTTTTTTTTTTTTTTTTTTTGTTAGATGGAACTGTGCTGCTTCAAATCGGCGAAACGAGAGTGGATGGAGGATTGGATGATGAGAAGTGCTAAAACTCTTACGTCATCAGTTGTATGTTGAATATTTGTTTGAAATACTTACTCGCTCTCGAATCTCGTACTTACTCAAACATATCTAATCTGTGACCTTCTTTTGCTTGTTCATATATTTTAGCGATGCCTCCTGCATCACCAATTCCTGCTACGTACAATGATGCCATGCATATAAATATAAGCGCTGCTTGAAAAACGTCAGTCCACAAAACAGCTTTTAAACCACCCTAAAACAAATTTGTATTTTCTTTTTTAGATTTAAACATTAAAAAGAAATATTTCAAATTTCATATAAGTCGTAAGGTAATACGATTAATTTAGTAATGCGTAAGGTAATAAGTCGTAAGGTAATTTGGTAAAGTAATTGTCCGGTACTGCAAAGTGCTATTTTAATAAATGCCAAATAAAAAACTAATCAGGAGTGCTATGCAAATGAGCACAAAAAAATCAGTTTTAAGGCTTCAAACATCGATCAAAAGGCAGATTCAAGAAACACGATTAATACTGCTTTTAAAATTGTTAATAATAAATCTTTTGGTGGTTTTAATTTTCTCATATTTGAAGTGCAAAGATTTATAAATAAAATAATAATATGGTGCTGTGAGAAATTATAACTAAATCTTCAACCGTCATTATTTTAAAACGTGATATTTTGATCGGGAATTTAATGTTTCGCAGAAACAAATCAACCAATTATTCAATTAAAGCGAAATTTATTCATAATATTCACGTTTTTATGCTCTCTAGTCATCAGCATCTCAGAAACATGATATTTTGGAGGAAAAAAATGTTTCAATGTAAAAATGGGATACCCACGAATATCATAGTGTGGGTATCTCGACCCTGATTGGTTGTTGAAACGTTATTTACGCTATCAACTGTTTTACCATTCTATTTCGAGTAAGCCAAGACCATCAAGTATCAATTCTCTTAAGTGACGCATTCTAATTTCTTTCAGAAAGATTTCAATTCTTTCTCTGAATATTTCTTACTTAAAGTCACAACGCCATGTAGAACACAAACAAACTAATTATGCATCGAAGTTGCCAGGTACACAAAACAAATATGTATAAAGATTACAATGAAATGCATAAATAAATAATAAATGTAGAAGAGAAATAATTATATTTTAACAAATTCGATGTATGATGAGGCATTGTATTTAATTAACTTCATGTTAAGTAAGTTTCTAACTTATAAGGAGACACTTAGCTCGTCTTTAACACGCCATCTTGTTTATAAGCGATCACGGATGTCATAGGTCACATGTCTGGTATCGATGATCATCTTCTACTAATTTACATAATTACAATAAGAATGGGATTTCTGCAACTACAGATTTATGTTTTTAGCAACGATTTCTTATGATTCTATTTATTTATTGCGATGCAATTGAGTTTATCTTTTATTCATTTTTTTTCCGGAATTTTTTTTTCCTTAATCTTCATATTTTATTAAAATGCTATTTCTTTTCTATTGAATTCAAGTTTTTAAGCACATACCAACGAGCAGTATAGAGTACATAGAGCTCCAAGCGAAATCACCGAAATTTCTAGAGATAGATCGGTCACAGCGCTGAGAGATAGCACTGATCCAAACAGAGAAACAACCATGACAAATATCTGTAAGAAATGTAGAATTATAAAAACTCAATTATTTTATCAGTTTATATAACTTTATTCAGGGTGATAGTAATAATGGGTCTCCAAAAATGTAACAAATCACACTTATTATTTATATACTTATTATAATTACACTTATCTGCACTTATTATAATCACACTTATTATTTTAATGAATTAAACAAAAAATAAATAACTGTTAAATTTTATAACCCACAGTGCGCCAAAAAAAAGCTGATCTCCTTGAATAACTTTTAATCTAATGATCGGATCTTCGCATTCTAGGACTCAATCTTAATGAGGTGATTTCAAATACGCTAATTGATTAGGGCAGACGATATTTTAAGACAGGAAATCAGACAAAAAGCACACTTTTTCTGAATAAACATGTATTTTTTTTCCAACTGATTCGAAATTCTGATTCCCAAAGTATAAGGGGTAAAATCAATCTGGGAAATATGGTCTCCATAGTTTGGTCAAGAAAGCGATTCAAAGTAAAGACCCATTAATGTTAATTTTAAATTTTGCGTATTTCGCTTTATCCGAGAACTGTTTAAATGAATTGAAAATTTTTTGCACATAATTATAAAATTCGTGTATCCAAAGATAATTCTATCCCGAAAATAAATTTCAGTAAGTTTTTATTATTATATTTTTTTTATTTTATTAAATAAGAGTTAAAAACCGTTTGAATTGTTCGGTATACAATTTCCTACATCATTTTAAAGTATCTAATTTCACATAGCAAAATAAAAAAATTGAACGAAATCGGTTAAAACATTGCTAAAAATTCGAATTTTTAAATATACGAGATGTTTTTTAAAATTCTATTTCCCAGAAACTATTCAATCGATTACGCTCAAGCTTTGTATTTTGCCATGAGGAATTTACATGCTTTAAAATTACGTACAAAATTTTATACCTTACAATTCAAAATATTTTCGACTGTTACTTAATAAAATAATGAATATTAACTAAAATTTGTTTTTTGCATGGAATTATCTTTGGATAAATTAATTTTATAATAGTGCGCAAAATTTTTTGAATTCGCTTAAAAAGCTCTCGAGATATGGCGAAATACTAAAAAAAAAACAAAATTAACATGAAGGAGTCCAAACTTTTGACCACTCTCCCAACCAAACTGCGGTGACCATATTTTCCTGATTCCAGTTATTCCTTATATTTTGGGGGTCAGAAATCGGAATCCGTTGAAAAAAAGATATGTTTATTCAGAGAAAGTACGTTTTTGAGTCGAATTTCGTAATTTAAAATATCGTTTGAACTAAATAATTTGCATATTTGAGGTCATCCCATTGAACCATAAAGATAGAGTCCCAAAACGTGACGATCCGATCATTAAATCAAAATTTATTCAAGGTGGTCTTTTTTTTTGGCGCACTGTACGACTTATAAAAATTTCATAATTTTATGACGTTGAAATGTCGTCAATGACCAAATGACGTGAAATCAATATATACTTTATAATTTAAGTCGTTCGATGTGGATACTCAATGCAGAGCATGTGACTTGAATCCAATTCCGATTTACAGAAATTGGATCCGAAAGACCGATTCCTATAAATTCCGATTTTTCTTTTCCTAAAAATTCGTTCTTTAGGAAAATTAAATTTTTCGCTTCCTAAATTCTACTAAAAGAGACCTAAGACTACTAAAAATTCTTACCTGTTGTCTAATACTTAGGTTAATTTTAACCTGTTCTTCTTTAAATATATCTTAAAACATGAGTATTGATCTACTCTCTCCTAAAAATTGGTTGGAAATTTTGAGTTCTTATACATTCCATATTCATTCTATATTCTTATACATTCCATATTCCATATACATCCTATATTCTTATACAGCAAACGAATTTAGTAGTCATCACAATCAGCTATAAGGTCATTTAAATAATGCAAAATCAAAATGTTCAAAGTCATTTGCAAGGTTTCAAGTTTTGTTATACTTGCTGAATGTAAAAAGATAGAGAAGAATATTTTAATATTATTTCTAATGAGATTCGGAAGATGAATTTTTGCAAATATCTCCAAAATTTTGACATATTGATATCGAAGTCAGAGAGTTAACAGTCCTTGATTGGATTTAGTTGTAATTATCAATTAGTTGTCGTAATTTTGAGATTGTGTGTAGCAACTGACTGTTTTCACTATTCTTATTGGACGATACGTATTCCCATCTCGAAAGAAACGTATTCCTATAGATTGATATATAACTGATTGATGATTGAAAGATTAGCAGTGGAGTGACTTCTGCTTTGACACCTCTATTATTATCTTTAAAATTGCTTTTATACCTTCTTAAATAACAGACAGTAAGAGCATCTGATTGAATGCAGTCCTTCAATCGCATAAGCATGATTCTGACTTTAAGTTTCAATAAATTTATTCAAATCAATTGAGGTACTTTCTAGAGTTAAATATCCCGTAATTCTGTTTATTTAGATTATATTCAGTTCTAATTAATTTTTTGTCAAATTAAATAATATATTTTTTTGAGTTTTGTTTCAGAACATAATATGAGATAAGATAATTATTGTTTAAGAAGGCTCTGAAATAGTTAATATCAATTACAAGTAAAAGGTGGTTTTTAATAAGAGAAAAAAAAATTCAATTACCATTTGTACAAGGAACAATGCTGAAATGATATATCTTATCATACTTCCATATCGCATTTCCAGGAACTGAAACAAAATTTGTACTTTACATGACCGGTAACCAAAATAACAATGAATATCAACTAACAATGTTTTCCGAAATACTTAGTTTTTTTGCGGTGTAAAGTCTATATTAATTCTTTACAAGGCTGTAGGGAGGCATACTTACCACTAACTACATTAATTGTTAATTACCAATGGGAAGCTATTTTTCCACATAGGTTTTTTGCTGTGATCTATTTATAAACATTAGAGAAAACAACAAAAAAAACGAAGAAGGGTTTTGTTTACATATTAGTAACACTAAGATTATCGTCGTGTCAAAAAAAAAAGAGGCAAATACTGAGGAGCTATTTACTCTTGTACGTTATACGTTCGTTCATTAAATCATTTCACTTATAGCTTATTTGCAGTTATAAACACATAATTTATAAACTAGATTAGTTGAAAAAACACAAAAGTTCAAGTTTAATATTCTTCTTTACAGTGGTAAAATTTGAAAAATCTCACCATCTTTCTATCTAAAAAGACCTGTCTAAAACTCAAATTAAATTTAGGTAGTTTGCTAAATGAGTGTTTTTTTTATGAATCACTCTCTATCTCAAAAATATTTTTACACAACATTACTAGAAAAAAGTTGCCCTGTAAAAGGCAAAAAATCATGCTTCAAAGTTTTTTTCTACTGAACTAAAATTCGAATTAAGATATATTCATTTTTATGAAAGGGAAGACCTCAAATATGCTAATTAATTAGTGTAGAAGTATTTTAGGTTACGAAATCTGACTCAAAAGCTTACTGTCTCTGAATAAATATAACTTCTTTACGACGGATACGGTTTCCTGAATCCCTAAAATATAGTGGAAACCTCAATATGCAAATATGGTCCAAAAGATTTGATCAGGAGAGCGGTCCAAAAATTGGACCCCTTAATGTTAACTTTACTTTCTGCGTATTTCGCCGTATCTCGGGAACCTTTTAAAGCGAATTGAAAAAATGTTACGCACAATAATAGAATTCGTTTATCCAAAGATAATTCCATACAAAAAATAAACTTTAGGAAGCATTTATTATTTTTTATTATTTCATTTAATAATAGTCGAAAAAATTTGAAGGTATGTAATTTTCTACATCACAACAAAGTACGTAAATTTACATGGCAAAATACAAAATTTGAGCGTAATCGGTCAAATAGTTCCTGAGAAATTGAATTTAAAAGGAAATTTCATAAGAGCTATTTAACCGATTCGGATGCGAAATTACTTTAAATTTATCTAAAAAAAATTTACCTACCTTTCAATCGAAATTCTTTTGACTAATATTAAATAAAATAATAAAAAGTAAAAAAAATAATAAATATTTACTGAAATTTATATTTAGCATAGATTTATCTTCGGATAAACGAATTTAATAATTGCCTGAAGAAATTTTTTATTTTGCTTAAAAAGCTCTTGAAATATTAAAAATACGCATAAAGTGAAACTAACATTAAGAGGTTCAAACTTTGGATCGCTCTTCTAACCAAACTATGAGGACCATATTTCCCTATGTTTGGGGGCTACCCCCTATATTTTGGGGTTCAGAAATCTGAATCCGTTAAAAAAAGGTATGTTTGAGTAAGTACATTTTTGCGTCAAATTTCATATTTTAAAATATAGCCTGCTCTAATTAATTAGCGTATTTTAGTTCACCTTCTTGAATCATTAAGATTGAATCCTAGAACGTAAAGATCTGATCAGTAGAACAGAAGTTATTTAGGGATCCAAATTTTCGTTAAGTCTCCCCCACACAATTGAAAAGAAGGTACGTGAAACACTTGTCATTAATTTTGGACAAAAAAATTTTTTAAATAATTATTTTTTGAACTTAAAAAAATCTGATTATTTTTGGATAAAAAGATGATAAAAAAGTAATCGCTGTAAATTGCGTCAACGGGTCGTCAAGTTGCAAGCAATCGTAAGCTTAACGAGTACTTGAGCAAAAGCAAATCGCACTACTCAAATAAAGGGAAGCTACAACCGCTTTAATAAGGCTACTAAACAGAGATTGAAGTATGTTCTGTGAAATTCGCACCGTCAAAATACTTAAGTTAGACTTACGATTTCAATTGTTCTTAAAACAATTCTAGTACAGTTCTTCTGTTTGAAAGATGATATTATTTTTGAAGTTATACTTTTTATGCGACTTCCAACAAGGTTGCGCTAAGGCCTGGTTTCTTAGGACAGGACGCCGTCAATTGTAAATCAGCGCTAACCTCTGATTGGTCCATTTGTAAGTTTGATAGTATACGTCATCGAACGCTCATCTTGAACTACAATTGCCGTCCAACTGAACAGCAGTTGGATTACAGCGTGACGTTAACCACAGAAGCAATGGCGGACAACATCCAACAGCACATTGAAATCAGCCAAGATCAAGATTTTGACAATAAACATAGCTTCTTCATTAAACATAGCACTCTTCATTTAGCTCAGCTATAATGTGTTTTTCCTTGGACAAAGTCATTATTTGTTCTCTAAAACACTGGTCGACAATAACAAATCAATACAAATTCAAAATAAATATTTGTTTACGTTATTAACGCATGCGCAATGAGAGATAAAGTCTGCGTTGGACCGACTGCTCACGCTGAGCTAACAAAAAAGTATTTTTTGGCGTCAGCTCTACGTCAACTCTCCGCTGACGCCCAGATAAGGCGCTTGTCCTAAGACACCAGACCTTTAAACGTTTAACGCTACATTTTTATTGGCCGGGAAATCACGTGGTAGGATCCAGTTTTCCCTCATTTATTTCCATGTTGTTTTGGTTCTCACTAGCATAAAAATAAAAGTCATAAAAGTATTGTTTTCTTAATTAATATTTTTTTAGTTTGTCTTGATACACATATAATTTAATAGGGAGCAGGAAAAAGAGTCGTTGAATAGAACTAGTGATTCTTCTACGACTGCTGATTCTTCTACAATTAACGTCGCAGATTACGAAGTTCAACTTCTTCCGCGCAGAGGGACTCCACGCACTTTTTTTATTAGGTGACGATTACTTCGTTTTAACCTCATTGAAAGTTGTAATTATAACTAATAAATAATTATATTCATAACTACTTTTCAAGCACTCGGGTTGTACAGAACATTTCTTATATATGGTTAACATTACATAAAGAAATTAAGTATTTCTAGTAAATACAAACAAAAGATAATCATTTCAAAATAAAACATTTTACTTCCAAATAACTTACATTTAGAATCATCCAAAAACCTACTCTTGCTGATTATCACTGTTACAATTACGTATCCAACAAAAAAAAAATAATATAAGTGTTTAAATAATCTTTCTATCAAGAAATTCAAATTAAAAAATATCTCTACTCATCAATACCATTATAAAGACGTAATAAGCAATAACGAATCATTTAAACCAAGTCAATTTTAAAAAGAAAAAAATTACTTCGTAGACTGTTGACACTCCGCATTGAAAATACACTGGTATGAAAATCTTTAATGCTAAAAACATTCCAATTGGAAGAGTTAGAACTCCAACAGTAATGCCAAATCCATACTTGTAGTCTTCAGCAGGTACCGCAATTATTGTAGAAGGCGATATTATGGTAACAATTATGGAAAGAATAACGGGGAGTTTAGTCATTCGTTTACCAGCTAGCATGTACTCTTTTGCTGTCATCTGGTTATTTGAAAGCAACCTTGAAATTACTCCAATACCCACAGAAATCAATAATGTAATGCAAATAACGATGTAATCAACAACGCCAAGAAACTGTTTGGCAACCATTTTTTTCCCGTAGCGAGAAATATATACTCCCTAAATATAATCCTTACTCGAAATTTAAGAAAAAGTCCTATAATTGAGGAAGAGTGTTGTTCACAATAAAAAAATAATTCAGAAGTCAGCAAAAACGAAGGATTCTTTAAGGAAAGATAAATTTCAATTACAGCTATTTTTATTCAAGCAAAGGCATGCCTCTCTCCAAAGCCATGACACTAATTAGAAGAAAATCTCCTCAAACAATATCGTAATTTCCAGCATTCGTATTGGACAAGCCTATCACGTGACGTGAGCTTCAATAAGCAAAACAGCTACAGATATATTAAGATGCCATTTGCAAAAAAACTAATAGAAGTAACAACTGAAATTATATTGTTTTACTATTTTTTAAAAATCTAGCTGTAATATTAGTACTTGTAGTATTAGTATGAATTATTAGTAGCGGTAGTATGAGACTTTTTTTAAAAAAAAAAAAAACTTTATTATCGAACTTTAAATGGCTTATGGAACTAGAAGAATAAAAATAGCATATTGCATTGTATCATTGTAGTCGGATATGTTTATATTAGGAGACTTTTAGGTTAGTTTTTAAAAATAAAACATTATCCTAGAAAAGTGATGCTTACAAACATAAAGCCTTGCGAACTCATACTTTATATTTTAACTGCAAATAGTTTTACGTACTATGCGTATTAAAATATAATTAAATAATGAAAAGCATCTTGGTACGGCACCGTAATAATCAGAAAATTCTTGAATAGAAATTAAAAAAGAAAATAGAGCTCCGTAAACTTATACTAAAAAACTTTGTTGTTAAGCTTCACAATACTTTAGGATTCAACTTCATGTGATTCAAGACGTTAAGAGTATAAAAATAGTATATTGCATGGCATCATTATTATCAAAAATTTTTAGGTGAACTTTTAAAAAGGAAAATTTCCCCTCGAAAATTGATATTAACAAACTTTTAATAACTAAACGGAAATTTTTGGGTTGGGATTTCTAACAATAATAAAAAAGTAGTTGAAGGTGGCAAAATAAATATTACACAATAACTTAAAGAATAAATTATGATTCAAAAAAGTACTTTATTATTTAAATTTAAATGGTTTAAGGCACTAGAGTGAATAAAAAGTAAATTTCCTGCCACAATTGTAATCAGAAATTTTCAGAATTGTATTACAAGAAGAAAGTATTACGTGGTGATTTGATACAAACAAAACTTCGGAAACAAATACAAATATCATATTACAGGGCATCATTGCTATCAGAACTCATTAGGTTGGTATTACTAAAATTAAGAAAACACGTAGTTGAATATTCCACAATGGCTTAAAAAGAGAAATTAAGATTAAAAAGAAATAATTTTTGATTTAAATTTAAATGGCTTAAGGCACTGGAGTGAAAAAATAATTTATAGTTTAGGATTTCTAACATTAAAAAACAAGTAGTTACTGGTGGCAAAATATACATTACAAAATGGTTTAGGTTAGTTTCAAAAAATAAAATATTACCTCGTAAACTGAACTAAACGGACTAATGCGTTAGGATTTAACTTAATGGCTTGAGGCACTAGGATAGCATCATTATAATCGTAAATTTTTAGATTGGAATTGCTAACACTAAATGCCAAGTAGTTGCAGGTGCAAAATAAATATTGCAGGACAGCTTGAAAAAGAAATTAAGATTTGAAGAAAATACTTTAAGATTTTATTGTAAAAACAACATCATGGCATAATTATAATCGGAAATGTTTAGGTTAGTTTTAAAAAAGAAAATATTACCTCGTAAACTGATGCTAAGAAAACTTGTTACAAACCCTCGAAAACTAATGCAAATAGCATATTGTAGGGCATCATTGCATTCGGAAATTAAAGTGCTGAAATATGTAATATAATAGCTTAAATAAAGATGTTAAAATTAAAAAAAGTTATGTTTTAATTTTAAATTATTTCAGTCACTAGAGTATAAAAATAGTATATTACATGGCATCATTATGATCTAGGAATTTTAAATTAGTTTTAAAAAAGAAAATATTACCTCGTGAACAAATACTATACTAGCAAACCTCGTTACAAACTCTTATGAAATAATACTTCCTATTTTAACTTCAAATGGTTTTTAAGGCAGTAGAGCTTTAAAAATAGCATTATATGGCATTATTATAATCGGAAATGTTTAGGTTAGGATTTCTAACATTAAAAAACAAGTATTTGAATATGGTAAAAAATTTTATAATAATAGCTTAAAAAAGAAATTAAAATTTAAAAAAAATTCTTTATGATTTAAATTAAAATGATTTCAAACACTAGACTATAAAAATAGCCTATTGCATGGCTTCATTATTATCAAAGATTTTTTGGTTAGTTTTATAAAAACCAAATATTACCTCGTAAACTGTTGACACTCCGCATTGAAAATACACAGGTATAAAAATCTTTAAGGCTAAAAACATTCCAATTGGTAGAACAAAGACTCCAATTGCGAATTTAAATCCATACAGGTATATTTCTGCTGGTGCAGAAAGTATTGTTGACGGAGATACTATTGTAACAATTATGGAAAGAACAACGGGGAGTTTAGTCATTCGTTTGCCAGCTAGCATGTACTCTTTTGCTGTCATCTGTTTATTTGAAAGCAACCTTGAAATTATTCCAATACCTACTGTAATCAGTAATGAAGCACCTATAACTATATAATCAATAACGCCAAGAAATTGTTTGGTACCCATTTTGGCAAGCAAAAAAATAAGAACTTTCTAAATATGATCCATATTTGAAACGAAATAAATAGATAATGGAAAATAATTGTTATTACGGATAAAACAGAGTTCATAAGCCAGAACAAATAACGCATTAATTATGAACAATAAATTTCAATTACATTGGTTTTTATTAATCAAACAAAATCAGTGTTTTCTGAAATACGATGGCACTAATTGAAAGCTATTTTGTTTTATTTGACTTAACAATCTTCAAACTGATATTTATTCTTTACTAAAGAAACGCTTAGTCGGATCATTTTTTATCATTTCTTTATAAGGAGAGCGAAAGTGTTAATTGGTGGAATTCAATTCTTTTTTAACATTTTATTTATGTACTATTTATAATCTTAATAAGTTGATGGATTTATTTTTTTCCAAGGTCAATAAATACCCTAAATACATAGCACTTTGCTAACGCGCCTGTTTAAAATATGTCATATACGCTGTGAAACGATCTATCACAATTCCATCAAATGATAAGTCACAACATTAAGAACAGTTGCCGTAATATTTTGTAATTCTTGTTCTTTTTTTGTCTACAAATTAAGAGATAAAATTTAGGTTTATTATTGAAATCGTTTATTTTATAATTTGTTAAATTGAAATTACTTGATTAAAAATCTTCATCTGCTTAAAAAATATACAGAGAGAAGTAAAAGTCGACATGTTCCAGCACTCAAAACTAGGTACCAATTTTACTCACCAGGCGTAAATTGGAAAAAAAGGTGAAAGCAATTTGAAATATAAAACGTAAAAATTTCAATCAAAAATGGAAAAGAAAGCAAAAAATAAAAAAAGAGAAGCCGCAACGACCGAGAGTGGAACAAAGAAAAATAACCATGAAAAAACAGAAAAAGAAAAACCACTGTAACTCAGAGGGTCAAATCAGAGTAAAACGGATTTCCCATACTACTGCAGCATTCATAAGAATGAAACAAGATTCCAGGATATCAAGATGAGCCGATGAGTTTTTAATCAAGCCGAAAAATAAAATAAAGGAAAAACATAATCTCTTCATCAGCTCACACGATTTTATCTGTAAAAAGAAGTGCTTTCCAATATTGTATCACTACAGCCAAAGCAAAATATATCAATATAATAGTGTGAGGAGCTCTTAAAAAACTGAAACGAAATTAGAGCACATAAAGTAAAAAATATATCAAGCAAAAGACAGAAAATTAACAACATTACATTGACGTGCTTCTATGTCGGGCGTGTTTCTATGGCTTTATGCGATGTGTTTATTTGTTTTGCAGCTTTATACTACGCAGTTTTCGTTTATTTTGTGTGCAGTGTATAAATAATCAGTTGGAACATTTTCATCATGGGTAAAAATGTAAAGGCTAATATATTTTCAAACCACAAAATATCCCGAAGATAGAAGGTTTTTATATATATACAGATAGATGGATAGATAGATGGATTGATATAGATATATATAGATAAGTAGATATAGGTATAGAGAAATAGATATAGAGATATAGATAGATAGATATAAATAGATAGATATATACTGCTTTTTTGACCAGCTTATTATACTGCTTATTATACTGCTTTTTATGCTGCTTTTAGACTGCTTTTGAGATGGGCTGACTCAGTGGAGACTGATTTTCTCGCAATTAATGAAAGGAATTGGAGATCAAAGACAAATCGTAAGTCGGCATGGAGAAATCTTCAGAGGAAGGCATTGGCTCACTTTGGGACATTGGGCTGTCTCACCAACTATGATGTTATATATATATATTGCAGGACA